TAACTGCCAGAATAACTGCCAGATAGCGCTCATGTCTCACGTGTGACGTGACTTGATGCGCACGTTCGCCTCTGCTGCGCGCTCGAGGCACTCTAACGCAGCGCCTGCAGAATACCATTCACCGATTTTCTTGCGCAGAACATCAAATAAACGTTTTGTTCACTCTCCAGGCGCAAGACTATCGTCTTTCGAGGACATTTGCAGTGCAACATGCAGATACGGGGCCATTTTTTTAAAACTGCCTACTAATACCAGTGATGTAAGTGCTGCTCCGATTGCCCCTAACTGCCCTAAAAGAGAAATGCTGCTCCAAAATGCAATATTTGTTAGTAGGGAGTTTTATCTTGTACGTATACTTCTTTACGTTAACGTGTTACCGGATCTTTCAATGCTTTAGCTCCTCATACGTATACGTTCACGTACGTACGTAAACGCGTATACCTTTACGTTTTCGCAAACCATAAATGGCGATGCTAACTGCATATGAACTGCATTTAACTTGCATATGATTAAATCACCACTGTGGCGAAATCACGGGACGTTCTTTTATTGCGTACAGTATCCTCGTATGCGCAAAAAAAGTGAGAAATACAAGGCTACTGCAACGATGCTGTCGACATCTTGGGACACTTCGTGCAACCACAGTCATGAACGCGTAATGTTTTTGAGGTAAAAATGACTATAAAGGTAAATCAAATAATTTGTAGCAACGTCGCTGCGCGTTTTTTGCATCAGACGTACAATGCACGATGTTTCTGCAATAACAATTTTGTGATTACCTGGTTCACTATTACCCTTCTAGATGGCGCCACCTATCCAGCTTGTGGGGGAATTCGCACGTTTACGGCGTTGACCATTCTAGCTTTGGTAATCCGGATGAAACAATATAATGGCCATTGGCGCTCGCGCTTCAGCTACTTCTGCTTATTGCAACTCGATAGTTCGAGTCCCTGCAATGCGGATACCACGAGTTTCTACGAATGAAGGTGGATTTGCGAAATAAGGCTGGAAACGTAAAGCCTATATGGCGGGAAACGTTAACTTTTAAGCCCGATCCGGCGGGAAACGTAAAGGTTTACGTCCCGTAAAGACCCGCGCATGCGTAGATTTTATCCGGTAACACGGTAACGTAAAGAAGTGTACGTACAAGCTAAAACTCCCTAGTAACTCCTCAGAACCTGATCCGACATGGCTCTGGAGAAATTAAAAATGATTAAGTTCAACCATGTGTCCGTACAGCGAGGTCAAATTAAAACAAAAATAAGCTGTATACTGTTATTCAGTGTACAGCTTTTCGAGTAGCTTTGTACTAGCATATTGGCAGGGGTAGACATACTAGTATTTTCTATATATGTCCGCTATAATTGTATATTTGTACCTTACAAGCGGACTATTCTGGGGAAATGCGTGCCAGACTTCTTAGTCATACTAGCCGCTGCTGTAACGACTTTGATACGTGGTCGATTACATTTAGAACTTTCAACAGATATGACCTCGTTTTTGTGACAAGGAAAATCTTTTTAAATGTTAGTTCATTTAGCTTATTTGATTCCGATGCTGGCTACTTTCTTAAAATATTAAAATAATACTCGGTGTTCGAACACCGTTTATCTGCCTAATTATGTTTCTTGCAATTCGCAGTGATTATTATATGTGCAATATGCATAACAATGAATATTAGTGCTTATAAGAGGCTTAAATGATCTATTAAACTCCAGGAGTCGTTTGGAATATTTTGCGATTTGCTCCTAAAACATCAATAGCTACTCCAGGCTAGCAGTTCTTCTGCTTCAGAGCACCATTTTTTTCTGCTCCAAAAATCAAAATGTTGCTTCCACCACTGCAACACTTTGCCTGTTGAAACGTGGCTAGAGGAAAGATGAGTATAGCTACAATGCGGTACTGATTGTCTACTTTATAAGAAACCTGAATTTATATAACATGTGTTTCTTGACTACTGGAGCGCGGTGTTATTTTGTAATATCACAGAAAGAACCCTTAACCTTTTCGGCCCTGGTGTCCTATATAAAAATGACAGGGACAAATTTTGCTGCCAAATGTGACAGAATCCAGTGAGAAATTGAAAAAGGTGTCTGAACTATCCTCAGTACACATGCGCAAGCACAGGTAGTTTTTTTCGTTGTTGTCTTTGAAACCCTGCAAAGTGGAAAACGAAATGGTGGAATGCGATAATAATGACACTCCCCGCAACAAAGTAAATGCCACCTTACTGGTTTACTATTACATCCCTACGAGCAGTGGTGATCCAACTGCGCCGATTGCGCTGTTTTCCTACAATTCTATATCTCTGCGCCTTGCTGCGCACACTCGAGTACAGCTTGCGCCAACTGCGCCAAAAGTTCGCTAGTCCGCCTTTGTACACGGCGTCGGACCGTTTATGGCCCAAAGCTATTTTTGGTCGCAACGAACACAATTGAAGCTTTTTCCATAATGACACTGCTAACCAAATTGTCTGCGCCTCTGTTATGAAACTGTGGATAACGCGTAGAAAAGTCACTCCGGGTACCGTGATGTAGTAGTCACCGTGGCCAATGCGCAACAGGTATCAGCACTGCGTGCTAGAAACTTCATATTCCCGCAAAATAAAATGTGGCCGTGGAACATTTGTTTTACATTTCGCAAAAAAAAAAAAAAGTAGACTACCTTTAATCAGGCTGCGCAACGTTCTTCGCTATGGCTATCGCAAAGTTAAGCCTAAATATCGAAGTATAGCTCGCGAATGTGCAAGGGCTCGTCGCACGTCTTGATTTCCAAACCGACGAATCCAAACCAGTGCACAAGGTAATTGAGACGCGAATTCAACCTAAATAAAGAACAAGTGCTCTCGCGCCTCCTTGACGCTGTCAATTAGAATAATCCGTGTTGTCGTAAGTCGAAAAGAAAAGTGAGTTTCACCGCACGGGTGAAGCGATTAATGCGATAGAAACAAATTGCAATGCTATACGAAGGGAGGCTGGCAGCCCGCTCTTTAGGACTCGGTCTCACGCAAATCAACAAAACGCTGGCTTAAGAGAGTACGGCCGCTACAGGAACACTCATCGCGCTGGCGAGATAACGCGGGCGAACGACCGCGCTCGTAAAATGAAAGGTCGCAGTTGGTGGTGCTAGAGGGACCCCCTTCTCCATCGCGTCTTTTGAAAGACGGGCGGGGTATTTGACGGCCGGTCTAAAAGACCAGCAATGAGGGGGGGGGGGGGGGGGGGTTATCTCACGCGCATCGGAGCTTCGGAGTGAAGGGGATTGGGTGACATGATGACGTCGATACTGGCTGTATAGGCTAGTGCAGTGAAAGGTAAAACCATAGCAACGTTGGGTAAAACAAGTCTTCTCGGCTTGTAAATATTCCCAAGGGATTCCCTCACCCTTGTTGAGAACTATGCTAGCGAGCAGGCTCAGCACTTTATGTTTGGAATCACTACCTCCTTCACCCTCCTTCCAAAAAAAGAAAAAATGGTAGCACTCCTTCTACCTAACCAGTCGGTCGCCATTTGTCATCTTGCCTGTTCGCGGAACTCCGTAGTTAATCCCGAACCATGTAAGTAGCGCAGGGCCAATACCCACCCATCACACCTTGAATGCATATTTGTGTGAAAAATTCGTGAACAGGTGAGTCGCAAAAGCCAACATTTTGTCAAACGGACTCGTCTCCTTCATGGTGGCCTTGAATAAATGCACCCCCCACCCCCCTTCGTATTTAGGTTGATCACTGACCTCACCCCTTGTACTAGCTGTTCAAACCATGCGAGTTTCGTTTTTCGAATACTTTTTTATCTGAACCTGCGAAACTGGAAGTGCTGACCCTAAAATTAACTAAATTGGAAGGAAAGTGGTTCTGGGTGCTCACACCTCTAACAATTATTGAGTAGGGTGGCTATTATTTATTGCACTGTCTACGAAATCAAATTGCAACAGTACATTCCCACATGTAATGATTGAGTTTTCTTCATATGCATTGTTTGATTGTTAGACTGCTGGTTTTCTGATTAGGTTTTATTTTTTGCAATGAGCTTATAAGACCTATCATATCACAGTAGCAGTATGTGCCATGCTTACCTTGTCACGAACACATGTAACCGTTCTTGTCACTAACGCTTCACTTTTGCACATCTCGTACAGTGCAGTGAAACCAAAATGTGACACTTTGGTGCTAAGAACCTGATTAATGGCTGCTCTCTGGATGTCTGCCTTGTCTCCTTGTTTACATTGCAGCAGCATTTCCAGTTTGAACACTAGTAAGAATATTCACGGAAAATTTAGACATGTTTTGCAATAAGTGATCCTAAATTCTGTTTTGTCTGCTCCGAAACACAGTTGCTCCTGCTCCAAATCTGCTCCAAAACAGACTTTTTCCTGCTCCAAAAATTGCTTCAAATCGTAAATGGGGAGGATCACCACTCTTGAGTGATTTTGGAAATTATTCTCTGTACTTTTCGACGCAGGACTTGACAGCCCCTATAAGCTTGTCTTGAGACGCATAATAACAAAGGGTCTTTGATTTCTACTGAAAAGCACCTCAATATCTTGGGGGGAGCAGCATGCATCAACATGTTGGAAAAAAGCAAGCATTTAAAAGGGTGCAATGCCATCTAAACCTGAAGGCACACACAAGTGCATTAGTGGCTCCAAGATTTTCGTGCTCAATATCGGAGGCTATTATGGCCTATTCTAACAGGCGCAGTGCACACGCCCGTTCCTGGGTTCTGCTGCTCTTCTACGTCAGTGTGGGTTGCACCTGCTCATGTGAAATGTTGCGGGTGAAAATTGGTTTGTCTCGATTTCGTTGCAGGCCAATGTGCTTTGGCGGGACAACAGAAAAATTCATATTACCCTGAAATTCATACAAGCCATGATCTAATCACTGAGGTTTTATTGTATATCAGCTCAGTAGATTGGACTGTTTCTGTTATGCGAGCCTAACTTGCAGCTCTACGGTGACCCTCTCGCCATGCTGTTTTTTTTAACACCCATGTTCTGTGCAGGGTGAAGGAGGAGCCGTACAGTTCGGATGACGAGGACGACGACAGTAGCAGCAGCAGCGGCAGCAGCAGCAGTTCGTCGTCGTTTTCGTGCCACGGCCAGCAGCGCACTACCACCACTACGGCTGCACCTCGCAGAGGCAGTGGCGGCCAAAAGCCGCTCAATCGTGGCCGCTGGGAGAAGGAGGAGGACGAGCTGCTCAAGCGCACCGTTCAGGAACTGGGCACGCACGACTGGGTGGCTGTGGCGCGCTGCTTCCCGGACCGCAGTGATGTGCAGTGCCAGCAGCGCTGGCACAAAGTGGTCAACCCCGAACTTGTGAAGGGCTCCTGGTCCAAAGAGGTGACTCAGATGCCTTAAAATCTGTTTGCTGCATACTTGGAAAAACTGTGTCGTGTCTCCACAAATTAAGTCTCGATTGGGTACACAGTGGTTTTCCAAGTATCCATCATTGTCAAGCTCACCCATCTCTTTACCCGATCACAATTGGTTCCCTTCTCTGCAGCTACTTTCTTGGACCAACTGCACAGTTCAGAGGAGTGCTTATCTTGGGATTAGCCACTTGCGGTGAGAGGTCTAGAGAAGAGCTTTTCATTGACTTTTTTGCTTGGTCTTGTGTCGGACAGCAGGTCATCCGGAGTAACATTGTCTGAAAGTTCCTGAAGCGACGGTGTTCAATTAAGTGAAATGGTTTTATTAGGGCCCACTGCCTCTCAATCTGTTCCTTTCTTAACGCTTAATTTGCCCAGCAAGCTATACTATTGAACCCACTGTCAGGTCACAGTTGTCATTGTCTGGTTTAATTAAAATACCTGCTCAGTTTTGTTTGCACTATACTACAAATTGTGGCTCTGGTGCTTAGTGTGTTTTTTATAATATCCTGAAAGAAGGTTATGAAAGAGATGCCCACTTGTTTTTATCGAAAAGATACTTGGATCTATCAGAATGAAAAGTTTCTTGTTCAGAAAAAAATCATCTTGGTCGTGCGATTCTCTGTATTTATGTGCTTCAGGCTGTTGACCAACTTGCTCTCACACTACCTATTGCTAGGACCCTCGTTAACTCGATTGGTAATGCACTGATAAGGTACTGCTTATGGGTTCGATACCCAGACCAGGACGAAATTTTCTTCCAACTAAGAGTTGGCACAATGGGTCTTGGGACAGCCGCGAGTGAATGCCGAAGTTTGCAACATTCTTTTTGTTGGTATGGATTTGCCTGTGGCTTTGTGCTACGAATCAATGGTTGTGCCACTTGTAGTGGCAGTACAGTGAAGCAAGCATGCACTAAGCTGCGAAAGCCTTGAAACAATGAACCGTAAGTGGTTCTGAAAGCTGTTTCTAGTTTGTTGCTAGGCTTTAGCAAGGTTATTTCTTTGTTGATTCTCAGTGCAGAGAGGTTAAACCGGAAGCAGTCACAGACACGACATGGGTAAATGATTGTTGGCATTGGCCTTTCATCACTTAGGGGTCTTCAACAGCTGCCATTGCCTTTTCCATTCCCTAGTATTCTTAATTGAAAATTTTGCTGAAGCACACTGAAAAACGAACGGACAGAAGAGGCTGACAAGGACAGCACTTGCTCTCACAAATTTTCAATTATGAACGTTATCTTACTAGCCCAACTTGCCATCTTGCTGCCCTAGTATTCTCTCATACATACATCGTCTCGTGGCTGTTTTTGCAGCCATTTTTTTTGTCTAACTGTTGCCTTTTTCTTTTTTAGTGAAAGTTGTGTGTAACAGGATTTACCAAATCGCTCTCGCACATACCCATTTATGAGGAAAATAGTTTTCTGATAGCCTGCACATATAGAGAGAAAAAGGAAAGGCAGGGAGGTCGGTTTGCTATCCTATATTGTACCCAAGCAATAATATCAATTACAAAAGTGCGTAAATAGAGATATATTTTATCATGCCCCCAGTTTCTTGATGTCTTTCTTTGGTAAGTTTCAAATTTATGCCTGAAGATTGCAAATTCACCTGGTATCTATGCTTTTTATAATGTATTCATCACATTCAAGCTCTTTTCCCTTTTTACCGCTGCTTTTCTTTACACCCATTTTGGCAGTGTAACAAAACAATACTTTCTTAGAAGTATTGTTTTGCGGCGGCATGAGCGCGCCTCTCGCGCAGCTCATGCCTAGCTCGAACTGCGCGAGGAGAGAACGAGGTCATGCACTGGGTGTGTCGAACACTGGCAGCCGCTGCTGCTCTGGTTCAACCCTGGAATAAAGTGGCCAGACTGGCACGGCCCCGTTGGTCGCTTTTGAGGTGTTCTCATGTCTCTCTACTCTCGCTACACTGGTGACCCAAAGGACGCCATCCATTCGACAAGCCACCGACTGCCAGGCTTCCACCACTCTGCCCGCGAGTGCCGCCGTTCTACCCGACATTACCCCAGGCATGGCTCATGCAGCTTGATGCCATTCTCACTGTGAATGGCCTCACGAACAGCTGCTCGTGCACGCCATCTTGCTTGACATGCTGCCGGTTGAGTTTCGCCATCTTACTGTCGCATCAACCACAAACCCATAGCCATATGACGATCTCTGCGCTGCGGTGCTCGCCTGCTACAGCCTCACGTACCGCCGACTTCAGGGGGCCCGCGATTTCAGGCTTTCCTCTGCGTCGCAGCGCGCGGCACCAAACCGTACGCAGCCCTCCATTGATCGCGACCTCACTACCCCGGCTTAGACTACTACCTCTGATCCGGTCGCAGGAACATCCAATCCTGCACCTGACCACGATGACGAGGTAGAAGACACCCCCACTATGACTGAACTCTCCTCCGAGAGTTGCATTCCCTCTGAGCCCACGTACGCAGGTACGTGGCGCGTGCCTGTCACCTGCACGTCTTCTGCGACATCGACGGCACGTGACATCGCAGCCCCACTAGATCCCATGACGACTACCTTGCCGCACGCCTCCGAGTCTGGCACAGACAACCTCTCGCCCGCTGTTTGCCAACCAAATGCGGAGACATTGTCGTCGACTATGTATGCTGAACACAACCTTCCATCGGTCTTCACCATCTGTACGTCTTGCCAGCAACCACTACTATCTACCTCAACGTGTCCCGCAGCTGAAATTTGTGGGATCTTGGAATGGCGAGAGAGAATGGCTTTTGGAGAGAATGGATACAGTAGACACCGTCGGAACAAACCAAAGAACATATTTAACTAATTTAGAGCGACGTCGTCAGCCGAATTAGTATAACATCAATCGTGATTAGTATAACATCAATCGCTAGGACATCCTTAATCAATATTACCATACACTCAAACAACATAACACAAGAGCACACAAAAGGCGGCGGTGTCAACGCTTCACTCACCACGTGGGCCTACCGCAGGCAACCTGCGGTGCCGTCCACGGCAGACCTACCGCGAAAGACAACCGTTCGCGCCAAATGCCACCAGCTGAAGAGACCAGCTTATTTTCTGCGCATCGCCACCAAGACTTGCCTGCCACCAGGGGTCACTGTCGGCGCTACCGCTCTAACAACCATGATGATGATGGTAGCAGTGACCCCAAAATATGGCTTCTGTGCGAGTTACATATGCCATGCGGTGCAAACAACGTTACAGGGGAGTGTCGGGACCCCCACATTGTCCCAACCTTAATCAAACCATATTCGGAAAAGAAAAGAAATTCGCTACACAAGCTCTAACAAAAAAAAACGACAACACAAGGCCCTCAATAATGTCCGTGCACCACAACACCGCCGCCGGTAGACACTGCTGCACTGTCCGGCTCGACGACTTCAGTTCAGTACCAGTCCTGCAACAGCAACGTTGCCGTCGGCGCAATGATCCGCCCCTCGTGCCGACACGTCTTCCAATTGCGACCAGCACTCACGAGGGCGCCGGACTGCAGGCAGTTGTGCAGGTCCCAGGCATGTCCATCGCCCGACTTTACGATCGCATTCCTGGCCAGCGGTGCTGACAATGGGGAGAAGACAGCCAGCCCTTGATTCCATCCTTCCCGCTGTGTACATTTCAAGACCCTCGACAGAAACAATGGAGCAGGGAGCTTCGAGCTTTTCGCCCACATGCTACGATGGTCAATACTGCTAGCTAATACATGGACGGCGGCCGAGACGCCCAGCTCAAAAATAAAACAAAGGTCACTTTTTGTAATTCATGCATCGCAAGATGAAAAGTGAGGGAAGCAGAGTGCTACATCTCAACGCCACGATCCACCTAATTATGCCACGTGCGACAGCCGGCTGCGCAGAGCCTTAGGCCTAATGAGTCGCTTGACAACAACCGGCATCCACCCAGCACCCAGCCTAGGTGGAGAAGAGGCAGCCGCAAGGAGACATCCACTCTGTAAGGTGGCCTTATCACTCGCTGCACACAGCAGCTTACCAAGCGATCGGCGTCCACCGTACCGAATGGTGTTGCGACGCCCTTGCGTCGTGCCGCAATGCCAGACAGCAACGACGCCTGGCTCCCAAGCCCAAAAGAGATAAAAGAAACTATTTACAGAAAATCGGACCATCTACGAGGCTTCCGTACTCACTCGCTTCGGGCCTGGCCTACAATTCACGTGCTCTAAGCTTTGCTCACCCCAGGATGCAGACCGCATGGCTCTCGTCCCACCTCAATAACGTTCTTGCAAACCAACAACAACAACAACAAAAAGAACACTTACAAGCAGAAAAACAATTTAAACTCAACCTGCCAACAAGTTTAAACACATCACCACAACCGATTTCCTCGCTCTCAACAAAGCACTCCGCCTGTTGAATAATAATCCGAATCAGAACGACCTGGAGTGGTCCAGACTTGATCGAAGTGTGCGAGTCATCTTGGGCCCCCGGGAGTATGTTGCAGAATATTCTCTTGGAGCGGGCCAGACTATCGAAGAGGACGAAGGGGATATAGGCACGCGCTAGGAAGCGACAACTTGGGCTCTATGCTGAATAAATGGGTCGTCTCCTTCTAACGTCGGCGAACCGGTTATTTTGTTACATTTGGTGCACGAAACCCGGGATCCGCCCCTTCGGAGATTTCCCTGAATGTCACGACCATGGCGACCGCTAACGATCTTCGGAAGAAGCGCGACCCAATTAGAGCTGGTGTCGCCCGAGCCCTAGCACTGTTATCAGACCTGCTGCAGCAACCAGATCCTGATGCCTCCCAGATTACCGGCCATATGTATTTTCTGAAGGATGAAGAAGCAGGGAGGGCACTGAGCGAAAAGCCCCAATGACAATAATCACAGATTCGAAGGCTGCATGTAGAAATAATGAAAAAGGTAGAATATGTATGAAGGCCTTCCAAATTCTAACCAAAGCTCGTAAAGACTTCCCGATTTAATACACCCAAACCATTAT